TAAGGCAGAAATTAAGTATGTGCTTGTGTTGGTTTAATAGATAATCGTATTAGATATGTATATACATAAGTATGTACCCAGCAGTAAAGCAACGAAATAGTCAGAAAAAGTTCTTGCTTAAGTGGAAAATATATATACTTTAAATCAATTAAAGAGCAATTCCTTATTTTTGTATATTTCGAAAATTCACGAAACATATATATTTATTACTTCGCATCATTTTTTATTCAAAAATTTTGGATTAAAATGAAATTTTTGTTTTTTAATCGCGATTTTGGGATTAAAAAGTAGATAGTATTCTTTTTAATTTAAATGAACGCGAAAAAATATTAATTCTAACACAAATTCTTTTTTTAATTCTTAATTATATGTTAAGATTAAAATTGTTCTTTTTTTCAATCCGCTAGTTGGTTGAGTGGATTTCTTTTTTTTTTTTTTTGTAACCCGGTATGTAGGATTAAAATTTTTTTCCCGTGTTTGGCATTACAAAATAAAAAAAATTTTATTCAAATGTTAATTCAATTATTTTTTAATGAATGAATGATATTCATTTTTAAATATGTAGTTATGTTAATTTTAGGCTAATGAAAATCTTAAATCTTTTTTTTCTTTAATATATCTTTCTCATACGAATATATTTAAGTATGAGTGGCAGATTAGTTACACTTCTGGTTCATAGTAGTTGCAAAGTAGTTAATAATGGCTGGTTTCACCGAGGTCATCAACATATTAATTTAATAATAATAATGCATATCTACGAATCTTTTAAATACGCAGAAGTATGAATGACGCCCTCTTTAAAGTAACGTGACAGATAAGACATGATTGACAAAATTTTAAATTAAAGTATATGTACATATGTATCTATATGTATACAAATAAATATATATATATATATATATAAAATCGAACCAAAAATAACTTATATTATAATATTGGTATGTTAATGAAAAAATATCCTTTAAAATATTACGAATATCATTACATCCTTGAATTCTACGTGGACTAATTACTTAACTAACAAGAGATTACTATATATGGAAATATCTACCAACACTAGCTAACTATACGAATCGGGGTTTTTCACAATTATTGCATAAATATCCAAAAAATTACCTAATTAAGTCTTGCAACTGTTAAGCTGAAAAGCTACGAAAATATCTAAGGAATACATAATGATCAACTACTTCACTTCTTCAATTTTTCAGCGTATGTTATATGTGAAATAACCTAACACAACTCGTCAGAGCACTAGCTAGAGTCTGGCAAACTTGATAATGGAGTTAATAAAAGGGATTTACACTCAACATCATCGTTAGTTAATGCTTTTATCAAAATTTCACTCACTTAACAATTAAAATCGCAGGGATTGATAATGAAGGTTTTGCATGTAAATCGGCAAAACGTAAGTTTCTGAGTAAACATTGGGTTTATTAATAGTGAAATCTAAATATTAGTAATGTGAACTTCCAAATTTGTTGTAAAATTATAAATAACCACTAAATAGAAGACATTTTATTACTCTGAAAAAAACAAAAGCATTCTACATTAGTATGCAGTAAAAATTTTGTTCAAATCGAAGTAATGGTCTTTATCAATGCTGATCGCCTATCAAGTCAACTAACTTATCTAACTACTATCTAATGATACAAATTCTACTCTTAAGTACCGATACATATCTCTTAAATCATCTGCACACGGATGCGCACACTTGAAACGACATATTTTGGTAAAAATGAACGTCAAACACCAATTAGCTGTACTTACTGATTATAGAGCTTATACTCGCAGTAAATATTGTGTTGGGGGAGGCACTTGATGATGGCAATATCGTTGCTGTAAGTTGATGCGATGTAGCCTTCGTGGGTTTGAAAGTAGAGACAGAGACGAGAACACCACCAGAGTTCCAGTAGGTGGATCCGGATCGGATTCTCAAAATCGAAGCACTAACCGATTGCAAACAGTGAGCAGCGGTCACAATAATGTTGCTGCTATAGATGGAGCCACCGCATGAGTGGGAACCGGAACGTTGGAGCGATATTTGCCATGGGAATGAACTGATGGTTGTTGGTGTACCACCAACAATACGTCCACTCAAATCGTCGCTTAGCCTGACCATACCTTCGGGTATGGTGCCAGCCAAAGCACAAGCGACAAAAGACAAGACCACTACGAATTTCAACATTGCTCCTTCACAGATCGTTGCAAACAACTGCTGCTGACCAAAATGGTTAGCTTATTTATACCCAACACAATATTTACTGCGAGTATAAGCTCTATAATCAGTAAGTAAAGCTAATTGGTGTTTGACGTTCATTTTTACCAAAATATGTCGTTTCAAGTGTGCGCATCCGTGTGCAGCCGATTTGTGAGATATGATATAAGTTAGTTGACTTGATAGACATACGGCATGGTAAAAACCATTACTTGAACTTTAAACAAAAATTTTTACTGGAAATTTTATTTTTTTTATTTCAGCAAATATATCAGATTTGAATTTTCATTTCTAGATTTCTTGGCTAGATTTGTTGTTTTTGCTGATATGACAGGCCACTTCCAAATGCTTGCTAAAACTTAAGGCTAAACAAGAAAAACGTTAACCTCGGTTGCGCGAAGCTATAATACCCTTCACAAATACAAAGGCCTCTTACAAGAACTTGATTCTAAACGTTCAATTTGTATGGCAGCTATATGATATTAGTGATCTGATCTGACCAATTTCTGTGGAGAATAATTTGTTGCCTTAAGCAATAACTCGTGCTAATTTCGTGAAGATACCTCGTCAAATAAAAATTTTCCATGCAAGCACTTTACTCCGATCGTTCAGTTAATATGGCAGCTATATGCTATAGTCATCCGATCTATACAATTTCTTCGGAGATTAGATTAATGCTTTAATAATAATACACGCCAAATTTCATGAAGATACCTCGTCAAATGAAAGAGTTTTCCATACAAAAGCAATGAATTCAGATAAAGAAAGTAGGAGCAACTAAATAGCTAGGGCATCGCAATTAAAAGACTTAGAAGAAAGAAGATCAAGACACACACGAAAAAAAGAAATACAAGAAAAACCAGACACATAGGATAAAGAAAAAAGACACATAAAAAAAAAACAGAAAAACAGAAAAAAAAGAAAAAAGACAACATAAACAAGAAATATAGTGAACATAGTCTTGTACCTTATCGACATCGTTCACTTGGAGATAAGCAGCTCACGATCTAATATTGACACCTTGCTTTCCACTAGAGAGCTGCTCATCTGTCAGGAAACGTCCATACAAGCTCGATATCGACCAAGCACTATAAGCAATATAGCGCCATAACAACTGAACATCGAAATCAAGTGTTTGTATGGAAAACTCTTCATTTGACGAGGTATCTTCATGAAATTTGGCGTGTATTATTATTAAGCATTAATCTAATTCCGAAGAAATTGTATAGATCGGATGACTATAGCATATAGCTGCCATATTAACTGACGATCGGGATAAGTGTTGCATGGAAAATGTTTTTTATTGACGAGTATCACGAAATTAGGCACGAGTTATTGCTTAAGGCAACAAATTATTCTCCACAGAAATTGGTCAGATCAGATCATTATATCATTACTGCCATACAAATTGAACGTTAAGAATCAAGTTCTTAAGAGGCCTTTGTATTTGTGAAGGGTATTATAGCTTCGGCGCAACCGAGGTTAACGTTTTTTCTTGTTTAGCCTTAAGTTTTAGCAAGCATTGGGAAGTGGCCTTGTCATATCAGCAAAACACAACAAATCTAGCCAAGAAATCTAGAAATGAAAAATTCAAAATCTGATTATATTTGCTGAAATAAAAATAAAATTTCCAGTAAAATTTTTGTTTAAAGTTCAAGTAATGGTTTTACAATGCCGTATGTCTATCAAGTCAACTAACTTATCATATACTCTCACAAATCGAGCTGCACACGGATGCGCACACTTGAAACGACATATTTTGGTAAAAATGAACGTCAAACACCAATTAGCTTACTTACTGATAAGAGCTTATACTCGCAGTAAATATTGTGTTGGTATAATAAAGCTAACCATTTGGTCAGCAGCAGTTGTTTGCAACGATCTGTGAAGAGCAATGTTGAAATTCGTAGTGGTCTTGTCTTTTGTCGCTTGCTTTGGTGGCACCATACCCGAAGGTATGGTCAGGCTAAGCGACGATTTGAGTGGACGTATTGTTGGTGGTACACCAACAACCATCAGTTCATTCCCTGGCAAATATCGCTCAACGTTCCGGTCCCACTCATGCGGTGGCTCCATCTATAGCAGCAACATTATTGTGACCGCTGCTCACTGTTTGCAATCGGTTAGGGCTTCGATTTTGAGAATCCGATCCGGATCCACCTACTGGAACTCTGGTGGTGTTCTGTCTCTGTCTCTACTTTCAAAACCACGAAGGCTACATCGCATCAACTTACAGCAACGATATTGCCATCATCAAGCTAGCCTCCTCTCTGTCATTCAGCTCGACCACTAGGCTATTGGTTGGCTACACAGCACCCCCTCTGGCGCATCTGCAGTAGTATCGGTTGGGTACACTCTCATCTGGTACGTAGTATTCCCAGACAATTGCAATATGTCGGCTAGATTATCATCGATCGTCAGCATATGTTCAGCTCATTCAGGTATGGTTCCCGTTAAACCGGCATGGCGCCTGCTGCCAACGACATTCTAGCATGGTAAGTGTTGTGATTATGGGCTGCCTGCCCTCGCTCTGTATACCCGATTCTACAGCTATGCGCTACTGCTATTTTGTCTTCCTTTTGTTTTGTCGATTCTAAAATCATCGATTTATGACTAAGATAAGTCGAGTTCCTCTTACTAGAATATCAAGCCACAACATCCTGAGAAATAATCATGATAATAGATAACTATCAGCATATTCCAATACTTTTTGCAATAGAAGTGCAGATAGTGTGCTCTATATGCGGGATATTGAACAAAGTGATTTCCTATTTGAGATTGAATAGCTCAGATCCTGCCGGTCTACCGCCAACTCTAACAATAATAATCAATTGATTTCTGCAATTCTGCAAAGAGTAATGTGACTCAATAATTTTTCGACAGGAGCTTGGCGTTAGTACGATCCATTTTATACCCTGAACAAGGTACTACGAGTATAAAATCCAGAAGGAAACTACGGAGACCCTATAAAGCATATAAGTCCATAGTATAAATGATCAGCAGAACGAGCTAAGTCGATTTAGCATGGCCGTCCGAAACTGCTCATTGTGCCTTACAATATCGGACCACTTTAGCATAAACTGCCATACAAACTGACCGATTCAAATCAAAAGTAATGGTA